GGAACAGGCAGGCTCAGAGGTCCAAAGGCAGAATGGGTCAGGATCAGGTGAACAGAGAACACTTTGATTCACCAGAAGACTCTCACCAAGGGTTCCAATAATCTGGCTGATGACTGAATCATTACAGTGAAATAAGGCAACTTTAATGTCGTGGATTGCTGGTTAACACAGAGAAATTATAGGAAATTGTATGATACATCCTCTAAATATGAATCATTTTGTTTGTAAACTGAGTGTTTTGAAGGTGGTCAGGGAGCTCAATATTGGTCTCATCTCTCATCTGAACAGAGCACCTGCCTTGTGGTAAACTGCCCATGAGACTTGTTTTTAATTCTCTTCATACAAATCTCTCAGGAGGAACAGATATGTATAGTGCATGGCTAAAACGCAGCTCCTCCAAAATGTGAATGGGTCTGTTTGGCTGATGTATAAAACTGTCCATGCCGTGCATACTGAGATTTCTTTACATAGCACTGGACTATTTTTGCTGATCATATAACTGCTAACTGTAAAATAAATAAATAAATAAATAAATAAATTTCACTCTTTATACTAAAGTGTAAATGGTGTGGCAAGGTGCAGTAAATATGATATGAAGAACTTATATAAAGAAAAGTTGGTTGCTCTGTTTTCTTAATATGTTTTTTCAATATTAAAATGTTTCTAGTTAAGTTTTATTAGTTTGAAGCCTTAACTGGTTGCTTTGATATTGGGTAAAGCCTTTAAAATTCTTGGCTATGCTGTCAATCTTCTCATAGCCACCTCTTTTGTAGACCTCCACCCCATCGCTGCCTCCAGTCTGATCTCCCTGCATCTCTGTCTGCATACAGAGTAAACAAGTTGGCAACAGGGAGTTCTCACATCTGCCTCAGACCAAAGCCAAGAAGACTTCCCAGCCCACAAACACGCACATCTACATGTACAAGCTCATAATGCAGCCTTAGAAGTGGCTTCTCCCCTGGGTGCATTTATCTGGGCTCCAAATTGTTGGAGCATGTTTTCTTTCTGGAGTTCAAATGTGATTAAACAACAAAGAGAAAAAACAGGCAGATTTCTACCATATCAAATGCTTTCTGTTGAGCCAAACAAATAATTTTATCTGTTTACTGTAAAATAAAATGATAAGGATTCAAGTATCTCGCGATGCTTGTCTTATGATCATTTTTAAAGTAGTTGGAAAAAGAGCATTGGCTTGCAGCTGCTGCAAGAATATCACTCCTGTCTGACTAAAGTGGATTATTTCTCCTGATCAGTGTGACCAAGCACAATGGCCCATTATGATGATGGATCGTGCAACAAGAAAGCAATTCTGAACGCTAGAAAGCTCTAAAAAACTATTCATAGCCCTTGAAGTTCTTTTTGCATTTTGTCACAGTCCATAGATTTCAGTGCATTGTTTCAGTAGTTTAGGGTAGACTAACAGAAAATTGAGCATGATTGAGAAACTTGAGGTGTGTGTTTGATTCAGCTTTGTAAAGGTAATACACAAGCAATTCGCTGTAAGGTCAGTGAGGTTGCAGGTGATTGTTTCTTTAAAGTCCATTAACTTTCTTCTCCTCATGTCTTACCAGTTCCTCCCATTGTCAAGCCTTCACCAGGTCCTTTCTTTGTTGTCCATTCAGACTAGATGGAGAATGTCTGAGAGACTCCAGAGTGAATCTTCCCGTAGATACTTAATTACAACGACTGATAGACGGATAGGTGCAGCGTCAGCAGTGATGTGGTCGCTCTACAGTATAGGACTGTCGTGGTGAAGAGAGAGCTGAATGGGGGGGCAAAGCTCACGATTTACCAATCGATCTATGTTCCTCCCTTGTGTATGGTCATCAGATCTGGGAAATGACAAAAAGGACAAGATCACAAAAAGAAGTGGCTGAAATGAGTTTCCTTCACAGGGTGGCTGTGAAGGAAACACATTTCGCAATCAGTGATATTGGGTGAGGAGCTCAGTTACCCGGGAGGAGCTGGGAATTGTCTTGTTGCTCCTCCAAGTCTAAAGGAGCCAGCTTAGGTGACCAGGAGGCATCTGTTCCAGATGCCTCCTGGTCACCTCACTCGGATGCTGTTCCAGGCATGTCCTATTGGGAGGATGCCTTGTGGAAGGCCCAGGACACGCTGGAGGTTTTATGTCTCTGAGCTGGCCAGGTATGGATGGATGGATGAATATGCTACAGTTCATCGAGAAACGTCAAACACAGGACCAAGCGGAAAACAGCCGCTCAAGCAAAAGCGTGCTTCCCTAACTTTTACCGCCCACAAGCTCCAGATTGGCTTTCTTTGTTTTTCTTTTTTTTGTGTGATTGGCTGTCTATGCTGTCACTCCAAAGTTCGCAAAAACAAAAATTCTGATGCACTGCTTCATATGGTCTGTGATTGGATGATCATAGTACTGAAGTCCTAAGAACTACAGTAATTATATCTGTAGAGTCACAAGTCTGTTTCTCTGCCTGAGGTACCTTTTGTTCCAGGAGTTACGGTTTTTGATTAGCATGCACGTCTTTCCATGGCTACAGGTGGTCATAAGAGGGAATTTGCTACTGTAAATTGGACGTTTTTTCTTCGGAGTGTGTCACCTAATCTAGAGGGGTTGTAATAGGTGTATGAATTTACACTAAACTTTGAATGATGTCATGTGCATTTGTTTGTGCATGTGTGTCTGTGTTTGGTAATTAGGTGTGCAGCCAGGAGTTCTAATAAAACAAAACAGAAAAGAAGACACTTCTAAAACACTAGCACCCCTTTTGTAACACCTCCACTGGCTCCATAAAGCAACATCCACTTCAAAATCTTCCTCATCATCATCCCAGTAATCTTGTAAAATATATAGTTTTATTGAAAGTGCTGATAGACAGAGATGGCAAAAGTACTCACTTTCTGTACTTGAGTAAAAGTACAGATACTTGTGTTAAAAAATACTCTGGTAAAAGTGGAAGTACTGATTAAACTTCTTTACTCAAGTAAAAGTAACAAAGTACAGGCTTGTAAATTTACTTAAAGTATAAAAGTAAAAGTAGAAACCACTTTTTTCATGCCGTTGCCTACATTTTAAATGGATGTCTGCCAATAGGACTAGATCTCCGTTGTGTTCATTTTCAATCATCTCGTCGTCCATGCTACTATGCTAAAGCCACCGCCACCAAGCTGCAATGATTTGCCGCGAATGAATACCGCCGAATCTGTCGATTCATCTTGTAGTGGTGCGTCAAATGCAACGTAGATTCCCATCCAATTAGATTGAATTTGGTATTGATGACGTGAAAAATAATAACGGTAACTCCATTGAAATGATTCAAAACTAAAGTAACGAGCCATTTTTTAAAATGTAAGGAGTAGAAAGTACAGATATTTGTGTAAAAATGTATGGAGTAGAAGTAAAAAGTCGCCATAAAAATAAGTAGTAAAGTAAAGTAAAAATATCAGAAAAATCTACTTGAGTACAGTAACGAAGTATTGTACTTCGTTACTTCCCATCTCTGCTGATAGATAATATTATTTAAAAAACACAACCTTTGAATGTGATTTTATACATCTCAACTCATAATAATTGTAAAACTACAACCATATAGTAAAAGTGGATTACTGCAATCCAGATTGTCAGAATAATCACCTTTCCGCATACATTCTATAAGTTTCTTTATGCCTACATGTCTTGTGGATTGTTGTCATGATGATACATTCACCTGAGCTGCAAGAGTCTGCAATTCATCCATAACACATTGTGGACCTGCTAAGGGCCCTGTTACACCTTGCCCATTTAGACAGTGTATGCTGACACCCCAGAATCTCCTAAAATGCTGGCATACACTGAACTTTCTATGTATGCTTTCAAATTTGTGCATATACATAGCATATTCATAACAAGTCCAGAACTTATCTCCAACGACAGCCTGACTTATATTTTTGATTCAAAATGGCAGAAATGGCGTTGAGTTCAACGCTTTATAGAGTGGACCAAAAACAAAAGCCTTGTTTTGGCTTAGGAAACGTCCAAATTGAACGAGTCCGCCCCTTAGGAATGGGCAGTCTGTGAAAGGGGGGGCGTTAGGGGGAATTGTTGGCCTGGTTGAACAGGCGAGATGTTCTGTTTCCCTCTAACATGTCAAATACCTTGATATACTTTGGAGATAAGTTATGCATAAGTTATGCACAAGTTACTCATAGGTTTAGGATAAACTAGACACCTTGACTAATGAGTAACTTAAACTTAATGTCTGTCAATGATTAGATAACTTTCCTATAAATTATGCCCCACATATGGCATACGTTGGCACATGTCTGGGAATCTTAAGCATGCTCAAAATTTCTTGACCTAGTTGCCATATGTTGACGTGTGCCAGCGTGTTTCAGCGTAGCTCAGCTTAATTCAGCATGCTCATAACTTATATAAAACATACCCATGATTTATACCCACCGTTTTTGCCAGGTTTTTTCTTACATAAGGCTAAATCGTCAAGGTGTGACAGGGGCATAAAGCTCTCCTGCAGATTTAGGTAATTTTATAAGTTAAGCTAAGAACTTTCCATTCAATTGGTCGTTCACACTGCTCCATTTAATAAAGGACCACCTAGATGCATGGTAGTAAATGTCTCTGAATACAAATGCACTCTGCACTTTTCAGATTTTTATTTCAATAACGTTTTAGAGGGATACATTTTTTTCCCTTTGGACCTCACAATGATGGATGACTACCTGTTTGTCCATCTCATGAAATCCTAGTAAAATACATGTGAACCAAGGGTCAGAATACTTCTTGAAGGTGCTGTGTGATCACTCATTTAGGATTGAAGCTGTGAAAGGTTGTGTTTGACTTATCTGTGTGGAAATGTAGAAAGAAAGTTGCATAATCTGTCCATCTTTGTGACTTTTGCCCTCCCAACCCGAACCCCCACGCCCCCTGGCTTCCAGGCGTATCCAGTTGGATGGACACAAAGTTGTGAAGTGAACTCAGCCCAGAGAGAGAGAGAGAGAGAGAGAGAGAGAGAGAGAGAGAGAGAGATCAACCCATCCCACTCCATGGAAATCGGGAGTGACTGTGACAGAAGGAAGGGGACAGAAAGTCTGAGAGCAGAAGGAACCCTGACTGAAACTTTATCACATGTCCTCCAGGACCGAACCGGACCTTTAATCTGGACAGCCATTGGATAACCTGCGGTTCAGAAGTGTGTTGGAAACTGCTGCGAAAATGCGGTCCGGTTCTCTGTTCAGGTAAAACCTGAACTTTTCCAGCTGCTGCTGCTGTTTCCACTCCGACACATGTCCGTTTGCATCCTCTAAAGGAACTATGGTGATGATGATGGAAAACTTTACTTTCCAGTTTTTGGTTTTACGCACGATGTGTTGCGCACAGAGCGCAGAGCGAGATTTATGAAAGGAATTTCCCTACAGGCGCGTTTTTAAGAAAGGAGCTCCCCGTTTCTCCTCTGGATGGATTTTTTTTCCTTCCTAAGGTTTCCCCCCCTGATGTAAATCCCTCACGTCTCGCTCTCTGTGTTTATTCTACTATGCGCCACTGTTGCGCCGTGCGGGAAAACGTGCAGTCCGGTAGGGGGTCTTTACTTCGGCCTGAGCGGCTCTGTTGTGTGGCTGTCGGGCTCTGTTCGGGACCTCTGTGTGAGGGGGGGGTTTCAGGGGTAACTGTGTGGTGTGGGGAAGTTTCCAGAGACCACGGCGGTGCACCACAGTGGGAGGAAAGCGCATATTACTCTGCCTACATGTGGCTTGTGGAGCGCTGATTGCGGCCACGGTTCGGTTCTCTCTCTCTCCTGCAGCGTCCATCTAAAAACCATGAGGATCATTTTGTGAAAACACTTTTATTTGCCTGCCACTACACTTGTCTCGGTGTTTTTTTCCTTGCTGTGATAATTATAGCTTAGAATTTTAGCAAAACAGGTGTATTAAAGTGAAATGATTCTACTTTCAGAGCTAAATCTCAAAGAGAAAAACTTTCAAGTGTCAAAAACTACACTATAAAAGTAGCTGTTCTTTGAAGGCTTTATAAGTGAAGTTGTATCATATCAAACAATGTCCCTAGCTTTTAATATCTCAATCTGAAACATGGTGGTGGCAGCATCATGCTCTGGGGACGCTTTTCTTTAATGGGGTTCTTTAATGGAGAAACGGATGGAGTTAAATAAAGGAAAACAATGGGGAAAAACGAATCATCACAACACAGAATTATGCTGGAAATATTGGGACTAAAACCTTAGAATCAAAGTTTGGATCTAAATAATTTTCACAACCTGTGGCAGGCCTGGTTCACATTTCATAATGGAGTAAGTTCAAGCTAATAGTTATATAAATAAAATCATTTCCCAATCTTTGAATATCTCACAGGGAGCACATCCATCATGCAAATAACATTAAAAGCCTATCAAAAAACTGCAGACCTACAGAAATGTGGTCTACCACCTACTTCAGGGCACGAGCCCATTATTCAGAGAGGCAGACATGTTCCTCCTTTCTGCAGGAGCTGCAAAGATCCGTTCAGGTAGTTTAGCACTAATCTGGCCTTTACACCCGAATGAGAAGTAGGGAGTCTTTGTAGAAAGAAAGCCACATGAGGTCAATTTTGCAAAAGCCATTAAGTGGGGAGGTTAGGTTATCTCAAAGATGCTCTGGTCAGATGGAAACAAATACCTTAGATGGTGAAACATTAAAACATCGTCGGGGAAGCTGGGGTTTCCTCCTCTTCATATTTATGTTGGCATATCTCATAAAGTAAAACAGTCTAAAGTTGGTGAGCGTAATGAGGCAAAATGTTAAAAACAAACACCAAATATGTAAGAACTTTAGCATCTTTAACACAGAAGTGCTCAAAATCTCTGAGTGGTTGTTGAGTGTCTGTGTTGAAACCATCTCCTCTGGGTGTGTGTAGACCCTGGGAGAGGCATTCCGATGGAAAAGCCGCTTGCTCTTTAAACTCCATTTGTTTATTAACGCCTTCTTGGATTTCACACATTGATGTTGGGATGTTTGCATATGAACCTCCAGTGAGAATAAGAACGTTTTTGTCCAGCCGCTCTCATAGCCTACACACCACCTTTAAAGGGAAACAAAGTGACATAATTGGTTTTTACAGTAAACATAGGTCACTGGAACATGTGACGGGGTGGTCAGTCAACACATCTGCTTTAGCATGAATGTGTAGCGATGAAAGCTGATGGGGAATAAAAGACGCCTCTGTGAGCGTTACCGTGATTATGCGTTCATGACAGTGAATGACTCTTGGCCTCATAAAGGTTCTTATTCAGCCTGCTGTTGTTTTAAATCCTGCCTCCATATCTGCCTCATCTCTCACCCTCTTTTTCTCCCTCAGGCTCTGCGTGCTGTGGGGCTTTGTGGTGGTCACGACCTCCGTGACCAGTAAGGCTGCCAAGAGGAAGGTGAGTCATTAGATCATCCAGTTGGGTCAGCAGAAAAAAAAACAACCTTTGTCACAACAGTGGGGTGAAAAGGTGACAGGAGTCAGAGGACAGGTTCAGATTTTTCTAGTATAAACTTTACTAGAACACCTTATTAATAATGAAGCAAACAGAAATGCTTGGAAAGTTTAAAGCATCAACATTTTATTTGTTGCAGGGGGCTTGAAAGTAAAAGCTTCAAGGTTTTAAATGCAGATCTTTAAAGGTTACAGTGGCTTTAGGGGAGAATCAGGAAACAGAACGAGTTAAAAAGTAAAGTTGATATTTGAAGTCATCTTTGCTGTAAGGAAATCCATAGAAACTGGAGAGAATGAGTTAGATTTAAACTGGTTGAAATCAGATTCAGGGAGCATGCAAACTTAAAACATTTTTAGTTTTAAGTGTGAATGTTCTCCCCATGCATCCATGTTCTTCTTATCATTCTTATAATGGGTCACACTACAAATAAAACGTTTATTTCATAATTTAATTTGCAAGGAGCACGTTGCTTTGGTATTAGACTTCATTCTCATTCGTTTAGCAGATTTTCCCCCTTTGTTTAAAGGAACTTTTGGCTCTTTTTTATGATAATATATATCTTTTTTTTTGCTTCCTGAAAGCCAGATAAATTGCAGCAACGGGCTGGAATTGGCCTGCGGACCTTTGTTTTAACAGATCTTAAAAGATTTTTTTTTTAAAGTAATTATGTCATATAATCTATAGACTGAAATGTTTGCTATATCTAAATATTTCAAATTTAGTCACCTCACAAAGACCATCTGCAATTTTTAAGTTATGCCAAAGATTGTTGATGACTTTAAGTCTGTACTTTTACTGAGGCATAAATAGTCTTTGATGTAAAACCCAGTAACGCTTTGTTGCCTTGCTGGAAGGTGAACGTAGGAAGCTCCATCCATTTTCTGTTATTTCTGACCTATGTTCCTGTTCCACTTTAACAAATTCGTTCCCACATCATAATGCTGCCTTGAATGTGTTTCACTGTAGAGATGGTGTGTTCAAGGCATCTTTTGTCACATAGAATTTTATTTTTTGAACAGAAAAATTAATGAACAAAGAATGTTTGCTGTGTTCCTGGATGGCTTGTAACAACCTCCAAACAGGAATTCTCTACCCGGCTTTTGTTCAGCAGTGGCTTTCCTCTTTCCATTCGCCCTTTAGCACAAAATGGAGGGCATGACTAATAGTTGTCCTGCCAACAGATTATCCCTTCTCAGCTGTGAATCTCAGCAGCTCCTCCAGAGTTACCTTTGGCCTATTAGAGGCTTTTCTGGTCATTCTTTTAGCTTATTTTGATTGAACAGTACCCTATGAGATGTATGTCAACCCTTCTTTAAAAATCTCGACGGCTTCCTAAACTGTCCTGATCAGTCCGATGCATTCCTTGGTCTTTGTAATACTGCTGTTCATAAATGCTATCAAACAATCCTCTAAAGCCTTCACAGAAAAGCTGGATTTATAAATGAAAACCTGTAATCCCCTGCAAACAGTTAGTTGTGCTGGATCTCAAATGTTGTTTTTGTTTTTTTTAAGTAAAAGAAGGCAACATTTAAATGCATTTCACACTTTTTGGATTTCTGATTTAACCACAGACATCTTTTTTTCCTTTTTCCTTTTATTATACCTTACTGTGCTTTGATCTGACACACAAAACCCAATAAAATGCACAGGGTTAGCAGGTGTAACAACAAAAATTTTAAAAGTTCATCAAATATATGACTTTTCCAATATATATATATTTTGTATGCCTTTCTGTCCTCCATTTGATGAACTGTAAACCTACCCAGAGTCCAGCAAAAGGAGGAATTTAAAAGTTTACTGAGATCTGCAATAGCTGGAGCTTTATAATGATGCTGGAATTATAAACTGAACTTCAAGTAGGAAAAGTAAAATTGATTACCTTTGTTTATTAGGGCAGTATTTATACGCATTGAATAGATTATCAAAGTTTGTCCAAATTTTTTCAAGCTCACTTTTTCAAATCACAGATACCACTAGACTTAAATATGCTTTTACATTTTTTTCGCATGGAGTTTTTTTTTTCTGATATCTCCACAGAAATGTAGAGAAACTCTTATTTGAAGTTTGAGATGCAGCGATAAAATCCTTAGTAAATCTTTCAGTAAATTGTAAGAACTGTGAATAAGGAAGTTAGCAGGCCTTTTAATGTCCCAGAAAATGTTGCTGCTCTTGTGTCTGGTGCAGGTCTGCTTGGACACTGCGGCAGGAGTTTAAGCAGTAGCTCCAGAGGTCAGCGGTGGCTGCTGCAGGGGTCACTGCTCACAGCTCATTAATACTTCCAGTTATGCAGCAGCTGTGTGTTTAATGGCACTCATTCCCTTCACTCACATCCAACCCCAGTAAGCCTACCTCCATCACCCTTCCTCCTTCCTTTTCTCCCAGCCTCCCCTCATTTTTACCCCAGACTGCAATAGGAACTCTTATTACGATGGCTGTCCCCATGTCCGCAATCATTTATGCATTCAATGTTTACTTGGGTGTTTCCACCCATGTATGTACACACAAACATTTAAGTATTTGTAAATAAAGATTTAGGTTTTGGTTCGTTTTCAATGGAAACCTTTGTTCGGCTTCAACGTTTGCCTCTCTGCAAACCAGCAGCTTGGTTATGAAATGAGTGAAAAAACATTTATCTACAACCACAGCGGAGGGTACTAAAGCCTTCAGCTGGCTCTCACATACAGGCCCTCACACTTACATGTACACAAACACGGCACTGGGTCAGCCGTGATCTTCTCAGTCCTGCTGTGGGTGACTTAAGCAAACACAAACTGCTGGGAATTTATCCGACGGCTCTTAAACCGCTGCTGGCAGGTGGCTGAGATGCTCTTAAGCCCAGGCGATGAAGAGTTCAAGATTTATAGTTTGGCCTCAGAAGAAGGATGTTCATGAGACTGTGTTGATCAGTGGCAAACTGAGAAGAAATTCTGCGTCTGCTTATAGGGATTATCTTTTCTCTGAAATGGTGCCAGAGCTTTCAAATATTGTTATTCTTAAGGTTAAATTTAAGGCTGCCGTCTGCACAGAGGAGATGGAGGGCATCATATCAAAAGATTCTTTTTGACGTAATGCTGACCTTTGCTGGTTTCTGTTTTATACACTTTAAAAAACAGCTGCTGTGTTGAAACAGCTGTTCCTGAATCAGCCGGTTCTGAATGGCTTCCTTCATCGTATTGTTGTAATTTGAAAATCTTCTAGAACTCATCAGGATTCAGGCGGTCTCCATGTATATTTACTTTGTGATTGACTTTAACAACAGCAAGCCTTAACATAAAGAAATGGGTGAGATAAAAAAAAGTAGAATGCATCAATAAAGTAAAATAAAAATTAAACCATAACTTTTGTTAAATTTGATTGTTTTATTGATAAATCTTTAAAACACCAAAACAATAGTAGTTGTGTACCATGTATATTTTTTTATTGTAGAAAATAGAAATTAAAACAATTTTTTTTTTAATCCATGATAATTTTCCCACTTTTCCAACATGGATAATATTCAATCTGTCCAGTTTGTGAAATTGAACCATGCTTCTATTTGGGATGGAGCTAAATATAGATCATGCAAAGTAATTAACTGGTCCACCACAATATGATTTGTTTTTTTCTCTTTCAGGTGGCAGGTCGAAGGTCCAGACAGGTTTTTGAGGCGGAGCCTATTGATGCGGTGTGGTCTGTCTGGGGGGAGTGGTCAGAATGCTCTCAAACCTGTGGAGTGGGTGTGTCTCAGAGGACCAGGAAGTGTTTACCCCCTCCTCCACCTCCTCAGACCCCTCCTATCTCCTTTGCTTCACCTAACTGGGCGGGTTATATCCCTGGGAGCGTAGTGGGACCAGTTAATTCACCTGTCAGCCCTTACTATCCCCCTCGTTACCGTGGGCAACGCCCATCTTATCGCTCACCATCAGTCTCCAGGAGTCATAATCCTGGAATGCCTTTATATAGAAACACCCCCACTGGAGGAGAAGGGCCTCCTGTTCCGGGGCAAAGCAATAGTTTGCCTCCTTTTTACAATTCTGAAGTGTCCCCCGTCGGCCAGGAACCTGCTTACCATCCACAGTATCACATGAACTCACAGGGTTACAACCCGCCTGCACGGGTCTTCAGGAGGCCAGCTAATCCAGGAACAGCGAGGGCTGGGGGAGGCGGGAATAGGCGCTCCATCCCCACCAGTCGGGAGGGTTTACCTTCGAGGAGGTTAGTGAAACTGGAGATTTTAAAATAATCCAACATTTCTGAAAGCAGTGCTTCTCTTTTTCTTGTTTTTTTTCCTTCCACATGACCTAGCTCACCATCACTGATTAGTGTGACCCCCGCCATAAGCAGAAAAAAGGTCACAGAGTAAAGAAATGCCCTGAAGCAAATGAACTCTGAAACCACTGAAGGTCATGCCTAATGAGATTTCAGAAGATTTCAGTTTTTCTTTCACAAATACCAGAACAACATATAATGATTATAGGGTATTTGATGTCGGTCCTTAAGATCTCTGAATAGGGTTTGTAACATTGGTTGGGCTGAAAATTGCATATTTGCTGTTCTATGAGTCCTAATGCAAGCCTGGTTATGAGCCCCAGAATTAAACGACAGGTTTTCTTCCTTTTATGTTATGCTAATAAATATTTAGAAGAGCTGTGTGCTGATTGGTTGGTTTACAACAAGCGATGCTGCTGAGCAAAGACGCATCATAGCAACAAGCACTCACTTACTGAAACATCAAATTGTTGATATGGTAGGGTGACCAGATGTCCTGTTTTTCCCGGACATGTCCCACTTTTCATACCTAAAAAAATGTCCAGGGGGCTTGTCCGGTATTTTGTTCGACTATAGTGCAGCAGATCTGAGCCGTCAGCTCCGGGGCTAGTCAGAGAACTCTGGCAGACAGTGGCAGGGAGTCAGTGGGGGACAGAGCGACCAAACCCAACCCGGTGACGGTAGCCGTGGCCCCGTGCTGCACGGTGAGGTAGGCGGGGGGAAGCATACCGGTCGGGTTTGGTTGTTCCGTCTCCGGCTGGCTCAAGACCAGCCCCGGAGCTGATGGCTTGGTTCGAATGCCCGGTATGGTCCAGTCAGTGGCCCAGCGACAGAATCATTCTTACAGCTTGCAGTTGTGATGGGCTTAGAGTCGGAACAGCCCCTTGTTTCAGTAAAAGAAGGTTAACCAGTCCTGCCTTGAACTGTCCAAGATTTTGAAAGCTGTCTATGGTACAATGCTTAGAACAAATGAACAGCTGAGCGTCAAACTTTGCAGGAATCTTCTGAGATGTGGTTCTGGCTCATTTTTAATAGAAAATCTGCCTGCTTTGTAATTCTTGTAGAAGTAAACCCAACTGTAGGCTAAACAGCTAAACTGGTGTCTTACATCTACCTCTATTCATGTTCTTGGGCCAGTGAACTAGTGGGCTGGTCTGTATGTCAAATTCAGGGCGCAAAAAAAGTACAGGCCAGAACATTCCCGAATTGACGTCAATTTGGTGCTTCGTTTGGATTCGGCCGTTTTATGGTGGAAGTTTAGAATTGTGAGATTTGCAGAGAAAGGAGGTGCCAATGGGATTTAAACTTCTGTGTACGCCCATTTTACCCACTGAACTATTGTTATGTAATGTACACTTGGTTTTGCATTCTATGACCCCTTTATGGCTAACCACTCCATCACAGGAACAAACAGCCATGCACAAACACACACACACTGTTAAGGAGAATTTACAGTAACGAACTGACCTAATATTTGTTTTTTGGGAATTATGAGAAGATCCTGCAGAACCCGGAGAAAAACCCAAGCTTGCATGAAAAACATGGAAACTCGATGCAGGAAGTTTTGAATCACTGTTTGAACACAGCTCTGGGTGCATCAGTCATTAGATCAAACAACAGAAATATGCATTTTTCTGTTGGTCAGCTTTCAAAGAACTGTTTTTAGAGCTACTTGCTAATTTGTCTGGTGGCATCTTTAAGTTAAATGTATGTTTATTAAACATGGAGCACTTTGCAAAAATCACACCTTTTATTTAGTTTTAAATGTATTTTTTGTAATGTTTTAAAAGTGGACTTGATCTAATTTACCGGGGATTTTTAAAAGTTTTGGGGGGATTTTTGCCTACTTTTTGGCACAGTTTTAGATAAATAGCTGATTTATTTTCAATAAATTTAACCAAGGAATAATTTAAACCTAATGTGCTTCCATAAATCTCTTTCTCTCCCCTTTCCTAATTTATTTTTAACAATAAATACCCAATGTGCTGCGAATGATCAATTAGAAAAGTGTTTGCATATTCATTATTACACTTATATGTTTCAGGTATCTATTCTGCTTCATTATTCTATTCATTATATGTGATAGTGTTTCTTAATAGATTATAAACAATGTCTTTGATATAAACCTGAATCTCAGGCCTATTTTTTTCACAGCAATAATCACTGCTGTTGGTGAGTGGACATTTTATGCATTTCCTTAAGCAACCAGAGATTCATGGAAAATGACCCTTGCACAAAAAGGAAGTGAGTTTTGCATAGCTGGCAGTGGCAACAGTGGTTTGTTTGGGGCAAACAGTAGCCGCCCCGTTGTTCCCAGACAAAGAAATGATTTGTATCTCATCACAAAATACAAGACTGAAGTGATCCGATGGATTATTTTCCCAGAGTGCAGCATATTGTTAGGGATGAACTGAGGTTTGGGCTGTTTATCCACTGGAGGTTTCTGTAATGGAGGCTGGAGTTGTGCCCATCTCTGCCTCTGGTATCTGCTCTCTAATTACATGATTATATCTGGTTTTTATCATTCACACAAATGCTGCATGGCTCTGCCCTCTCACCACATCCAGATTGATCCATGTTTATATTCAGCTTACTCCACCAAACTGTTTTCTCTCTGACCTTATCTATCTAATAGTTGTAAATCTTTACTGAATAACATCTGCTCTCTGTTTTTCTACTGTGAATTATTTTTGCAGGGCTTCCAGCATCCGTCCAGGTCAATTTGGGTATGGAAAGGTTCCCTTCTCTCTGCCTTTGCATCGAACCAACCGCCAAGCTCGACACACTGCTAACAGTACAGACCAAGATCCCGGGCTGACTGACGTTAAAGACGACACAATGGAAAATGAGGAGAGGCGTGAGGTTGATAGAGAGTCAGAGAGAACAGAGGAGGAGAACGGAGAGCAACATGTCAGTGAAGCACCTGCTGCTGAGGAGGAACCCGTTCCCACAGAGAGCGTACGCCAGCATGGAGGCAGGACACCCCATCATGATCACAGAAGGATCAGAGTCCAACCTCAACACTCCCCGTCACGCTCCTCGCCCCCGTCCGTCTTTAACCGCCAACGTTTTGACTGGAACTCTGTCACCGCTCCTCCTCCTCCTTCTCAGTCTCACCCACAATCTTCAAGAAGCTCTTCTCTTTTTACTTCTCCTCTCCATCATCCCAACCCAGCGCACACAGATAGGGAACCCCACCCCGGCTTCAGATCCCAGGCCCCACCCACCGGCAGCATCTACCCCTTACAGCACCCAGCCATGTCTTCTCACCTGGAAGCAGAGGTCGGCAGGCACCCAGGAGGCGAAGTTCATCGGCCCTTTAGGTGCTCTGGGCCAGAGAGGGAGTTTCGCCGCTGCTTCTCACAGGTAGGACTTTATAATTCTTTATAACCTAAAGGCTCCAGAAAGAAAACTCCTCTTTAAATATTGTGGCTGTTAATATCCTCAGTGATTATCCTCCCATCATCGTCTTATGTCCTTTTTTATTTTTCCTCCATTGAGTGTTTAATACGATTGAGGGGAACATGTAAAGGAAGAAGCTGAAGGTCAACAGAGTGTGCTTGATATCTAGATAATTTCTCAGCTTTAACACTGGTTGTTTTTCCTCTGAGGATTCACATAGAAACTGGTTATTCTTAAAACTGCCTTTGATTGTTAAAGTTAACCAGTAGGGCAGTGGGTAGCACTGCTATCTTGCAGCAGTTCTGGGTTCGATTCCCAGCCCAGGGTCTTTCTGCATGGAGTTTGCATGTTCTCCCTGAGCATGCGTTGGTACCCCGGCTTCCTCCCATAGTCCAAAAACATGACTGTTAGGTTAACTGGCTTCTCTAGATTCTCCTTAGGTGTGAGTGTGTGCATGAATGGTTGTATGTCCTGTTTGTCTCTGTGTTGCCCTGCGATGGACTGGCGACCTGTGTACACCGCCTCTTGCCCGTAGACAGCTGGAGATAGGCACCAACACGCCTCGCAACCCCAACTGGGACAAGCGTGTCAGATAATGGATGGATGGATGGAAGGGTCCAACTGTTTTATATGTTTTACTATCTGCTTTTGTCGCATTGCTTTTTTTTGTTGCTTTTCTTTTCTTCTTATATTTTATTACAGCCAGTTGTAGCTCCTAGCTTCTTTTCTTTCACCTTTTGTTAGGTCAACAGTAAGAACACTATCCTGGGTAGGAAAGGAAGTCCAGAATGTGGTGCTGAATCACATAAGGGAACCACAAATGAAGGATGCTTGTCAAATTGGGACCACAGGCTTTAAAAAAAAAACAGAAAACATAAGTTGTACAAATATAAAAAAAATGGCAGAAATGCTCCGTTATAAAACCCAAAACTTTTGAAGTTGTGTACATTTTCAGGCATCACACGGAGTACACACCAAGAAGTCATGTTATTCTTATTCTATTCCATGAAGTGCGCTTTAAAAAGCTGCTGAAACCTGACTACCAGTCAGATGTTGGTGCTGTTTTAATGAGTGCATGCTTGTTAACGGAGGGAGGCAACTCTGACTTTGTTTACATAATCCAACGAGGCGAGTGGCTTCGGCCTTTTCCACTCTGGGAGCAGGTTCACAAATATTATTGTTTTATTTAGGTTAACAAGGTTAACATATACCTGTGGTAGATTTTAGGTTCCATTTAGATTCAGCTATGTTGTTGTAGAATGAAGTCTTTCCTCATTCTGAAGAGTGGCTAAGATGAAGAGGCTTCTGTGTCAAATCACATTCAACTTGTCTGGAGTCGGGTATCTAATTGTTATGCTGAGGCTGCTATCTCTATCTAGGAATACTTGCTGAAAACAACTTTATTCTTGCATTCTGTGCACTCAGACACATAGTAACTTGCTCATAAATGAAAAAGACTAATTGCTGCGTTCCTGTCAAAAAAAGTGTGAATATAAATGAATATTTTTGTAACAAAATTACCATTATATGTTCTTTTATATTTTTTCTTAACTGAAAAAATATGCTGTTTTTGAGTCAGTTTAATTCAGTTTATTAATATTGCGCCAATTCACAATACGTTATCTGAAAGTACTTTGCAGAGACAATTCAATCAAATCATCCAGACAAACTGGTTAAAAAGGTTTTCTATCTGAGGAAAGCTATTGGTTACATCCAGTCATTGATTTTGCAGGATTGGCTCTTACTCGATGAGCATTTGGCGACAGTAATTGTTTCCTTGAGTAGTGTGGTTTTTTATATCCACTACAATGAGCATGCATCCAGTGACAATATAGAGGAAAAAAACCCTTTAAACAGAAATAAACCTGCAGTGTGAGCCTGCAGGTTTAAGTAGACAGACAAAGAACCATAGAAGCACATCTATAAATGCTTTCTATCCTAGAAAAGGTAACGCCAAACTAGCTCCATAGGTGGTTCTGTTTAGAGAAGAAACAGCTGTATGGATGAGCTCTGAACACGATATCAGGTCTAAAGGCTGAAAGAGAACAGATACAGTTAGTTACAGTAAAAGCTGATCCCAGCCTTGTCTAAGAGCGAAACAGGACAAAGCACCGTAAAAACAGGCCCAACTGCAACGTCTATAAATGAAGCTACTTTGATAGTAAAAAGCAAAGGGAACATTAAGTTAGAAGTTGAACTAACAAATCTTCGGTCCATATGATAGTTCTATCTAAGAATCTCACTTTCAATGGCTTGCATTTTAAGTGTTGGGGGGTGGGGCCCAGGAGGAAAGCCTGGCTCGGGACAAGACACTGATATCAATATGTTTCCAGTTTTATAAACCCAGCAGTGTAATGTTTGGCATCCACCCAAGATTTTGACAGATTCTCACCCACACTGTTGACTTTGTTCCATTTCCTAATCATCTTTTGGTGTGTGGAAAGCGTAGAAATGGTTGCAATGTAGGAAATAAAAAGATAAGATATATATATCATGTTTCACATATCTTAACTGTTCTCTCTGTTGATATATTTTCAGCATTAAATAGTTTCTGTATTCTTGAAGAAATGCATTATCCTTAAAAAGACCACCAATATAGAATACAGTATAGAAAGAGAGTTTATCTTCCAGAGAGTGAAAAATGTGTGTTTTTCATTCACACCAAGCAGCCCATTTAGGCCCAGACTGTTTGAGAGGAAGAAAGGGAAAATATCCTCTCTCTTGCAGGTTCTTAAAGAGGCCCCCAAAAACTGTGGGACATGTTCAGCACTGATTGGTTACAGATGGAACAAGTAGGATAAAAAAATACATTAGCCATAATACCCCCTCCCGTACATTATGAGGAACAGTCCTTTCTCAAACATTATGAGTATCTATAGCATGGGATAGAAGCTAACTTAGTTGATCAATCTGATCAAATCAGCCTTCTAAAACTGATTCCACATATTTTATAACAGTTAGGAGGCTGTTTATTTGAAATGTTGAAATGTATTTGAAATCTCCACCCTACTGCTTTTCCTTTTTTTAATCTCACACCTCAGTATAAAACTTACTGTATAACATATTTCTCTAAAACAAAAGTAAAGTGGATAGAAAGATGTACAAACCAGCTCTTTCCAGATGATATGAAGGAAATATATGAGGTGTCATAATCTAATAATGCTGCTTGTAAGAGTACATCATTCACACGGACCAAATTGGTTTCACATTCCTCTCTTTGTGCCCGACATGTGTTATTGAAGCGGGATTCGCCCTGCTTAAGGGAATGCTTTTTTTTTTTTTTTTTTTTTGAAAAAGTCTTTTTAATGTCTGAATACAAACATATAGGTATCTTAACAAAGAGAGCCACATAGTCCATATCACACGGACAAAAATACCCAGAGTGACACATGAGTGGGTTATTTATTCCACTGGCTGCAGGTCTGCTTTAAGTTGATGTGTAAAGACAGAAGATAAGATTGGTTTTAACAAAACACACCTACACACTTTCACATTTCCCCTCTCTAGCAGCATATCAGCAGCTTGTTCTCATCAGCTGGAAGTAGTTACTTGAATTGGGAGCCAGTTTGACACTTAAGAGCTCTCAGCATTTTCCCTGCAACAATAATTTGGCATCCCCTCTTCCTCCATCCTCCTCGTGTTCTTTCTTTCTCTCCTGCTCCCTGTGTGTCCTCTCTTGTTTGTTGCTACCCTTATTTTAAGGCAGATTTAAAGCCTTGGCAGCATGTCTCCTCCTCAGGTTGCCAGCTTGGCTAAAAGAGGTCTGCCGACAGCCAATCCTGGCTCATTGAGTTACATATTTACCTAACCTTAGCCTCTGCGTTAGCTCTGTCTGCTCCTTGAGCAGGGAGCGGTGGTTTTTATCTGTCCTCCAGATAGGTTTTAAGTGCTGAATGCAGCTCTTTGCCCAGGCTTGTATGGACTCAATGTGTGTGTGTGTATGTAAGTAATTTAGGGGGTGAGCTAGACCAAGAGTGACACATCCCATTATCTATTAGGTGTGTTTGTCATAACACGGCGTGCCTTAGGCCCATCACAGGAATCATTGGTTGTGTTGGGGTGCTTTTCTTGTTCTGTTGCGTTGTTGCAGTGGAGAACTACGAGGAAATGAGAAGGGCAAAAGGTGAACACATGTGTGTGTTTGCATGAGTTAAGCACAGGGTGGTAGAGGAAGTGGCGCAGTGAAAGAGAGCACTGTTTTCTAGAAAAGCTGCCCTGGATCATTCGCAGAAGTTATGAAGAAATGGGGGCTGGTCAGAATGAGTCGTCAGGAGTGTGAGACTGCATGAAGAAAGAGCCTTTGGTGGGGATTTCATGAGTTACGTTAGGGATGGTTGGCTGTGAAATCAGACAGAGTGGGACGGAGTGTTTATTTTGATGAAAAAGTGTGTGTGAGAAGGGTAACAAGAGAAGAAGTTATTCTGTTGGAGAACGGGAGGAAGAGTGAGGTGAAATCTGAGGAGATTCTGTCTGGCGGATTTAAAAATCGAGGCAGAGGTTTGAAGCGTTTCCCCTCTGCAGCTTTTCACACTGTGTTATGGTGACTGTACGCACCCCTCCTCCTCCCTCCAGAGTAAATATTTACCTAGAGTCACTAACATTAAATGCCTTTACATGATAGAGCGAGTGTTACATTTAGGATGACCTAATAAGACGGATACCATCAGGGGCAGCTGCAGCTTTATACAGCACCAGAAAGACATCCCTAAAGTTTATTAGCTTAACATCCTCGCCTCCCCCTCCTTGTCTGAATTTTGAAGATTTCAAGATATAAAGCAGTAAAAAGGGTAACAACCAGAACCATTTACCTTATCTTCCAGCACCATATGCAGTGCTTTGGGGCTCAGAAGTCTAGAGAGCCTCTGAAACCTTTGTTGTTTGTGAAAACAATGCAATTTTTTAATTTTCCTACATCAAGTTAGCATAACTATACTGTAATTTCCCCATAAACATGTATTAGGTGT